AGAGCGCGAAGCGAGCTCCTATCTAACGGTTGATGGGCCTCGTTTCAACACCAAACGTTGTCGCCATTCCAGTGGCGGTGGTAGGGCACGAAGAGAGCTTCGATATAACGTCTGAACGGCCGGCCCCGTTACGACACCAAATGTTGTACCCGTTCCCGTGGCAGTTGTCGAGCACGAAGAGAGCTTCGATATGACGGATGATGGGCCCCGTTACGACACCAAAAGTTTTCACCGTTCCCGTGCCACTCGTAGATCGCGATGAGAGCTTCGATCTAACGGCTAATGGGCCCGGGTACGACACCAAAAGTTTTCACCGTTCCCGTGCCACTCGTAGATCGCGATGAGAGCTTCGATCTAACGGCTAATGGGCCCGGGTACGACACCAAAAGTTTTCACCGTTCCCGTGCCACTCGTAGATCGCGATGAGAGCTTCGATCTAACGGCTAATGGGCCCGGGTACGACACCAAAAGTTTTCACCGTTCCCGTGCCACTCGTAGATCGCGATGAGAGCTTCGATCTAACGGCTAATGGGCCCGGTTACGACACCAAAAGTTTTGCCGTTCCCGTGGCTGTAGTTGATCACGAAGAGTGCTTCGATCAAACCGCTGATGGGCCCCATCTCAACAGCAAAAGTGGTCACCGTTCCCGTGGTGGTTGTAGGGTGCGAATAGAGCTTCGATCTAATGCCCGATGGGCCCCGTTACGGCACCAAAAGTTTTCACCGAAAACGTGGCAGCTATAGATCGCCGTTCCTGTTGCAGTCATAGATCGCGGAGAGAGCATCGATCTAACGGCTGATGGGCCCCATTACGACACCAAAAGTTGTCGTCATTCCCGTGCCATTCGTAGATCGCGAAGAGAGCTTCTTTAATCTAACGGCTGATGGTCCCCGTTACAAAACCAAAATGTGTCGCCCATCCCGGGGCGGTTGTTGAGCGCAAAGAGAGCTTCTATCTAACGGCAGATGGGCCTCGTTTCAACAGCAAACGTTGTCGCCATTCCAGTGGTGGTGGTAGGGCGCGAAGAGAGCTTCGATATAACCTCTAATGGGCTGGCCCCATTACGACACAAAAAGTTGTCGCTAAATTCGTGGCGGTTGTAGAGGGGGAAGAGAGCTTTGATATGACGGACTATGGGTCCCGTTACGACATAAAAAGTTGGCACCGTTCCCGTGCTAGTTGTAGATTGTCCCCGTTCCCGTGGCAGTTGTAGAGCAGGAAGAGAGCTTCGATATGACGGATGATGGGCCCCGTTACGACACTAAAAGATTTCGCCGTTCCCGTGGCGGTTGTATCTCTTGGCGACGTACAGCCGCCACGTTTTCGGTGAAAACTTTTGGTGTCCTAATGGGGCCCATCGGGAGTT